TGCCCACTTGCCTAGACCTACAGTGGGCTGACTTCCGAAAGGCCACTTCTAGAAACCTCTATCTGGCCTTTCGGTACTGTAGCAGCTACGACTCTTCCCTTTCAGGTGAGTAGCAGCTACGACTTTGACCCTACAGCTACGACCTTTGGACTGTCTAGACTCCTACCCGACAAGTCTACAGTTCGAATCCCTCATACCCTGTAACCTACGGGATCCTACCTACCACTGGCGGTCCTACAGGTCGCAGGTTCAAATCTACGGGTTGACGCAGGTACTGTACACAGGTAAGGTGGGGAACTAGGGATCGAGCCCTGGGATCTGCATCAGCTACTGCGAACTGGTGAATACCATTTCACTCCCGCTGGCCTAAATTCGAGGTCCTCCGAGAAAATTTCAGTCAAAGGCAGGACCTTTACCTTTCCTGTCTCTTTCGTAGGCCTTAACTATGTCCGGAGTTGTCTCTAGAAGTTCACTTCTGGTGAACCACCGGTCGTCTTCTGGTTCCTGATATGCAAATCTGACCTTATACTGTTTCTGAGGACGACCTCGATTCCCTGTTCTAAACACATCTTCACCTACAATGCCCTCAACGTCGTACCTCCCATCCATGTCTGGAGGGATCATGGAACGCCTAGAGGGAAACTGATCGCTTACTATGCACGGCAACAACTTTGACGCATGGAAAACTGGGTAGGTGTGGAGGTGTAATGGGAGCTCTACTGAATAAGACGGACCATCCTCTCCGCCCTTGACTTTCTAGAACTGGCCACGGTCCTTTATACGCGGGCAGTAACTTTTGCGAAATATTCTCTTCAGGGGCGAACTCTGTAGCCTTGACCCAGACTAAGTCGCCTACTTGAAACTGCAAGGGGCGACGATGTTTGTTAGCTTGTTCGATCATGCGGTGATGGGCCTTCCTGAGATTCTCAACAACAGTTGCTATTTCCCTCTCGTGCTGAATCGCAAACCTCCTTGTACCGGGCGGTAGCCTGTGAATCTGATCCCGGTTAAGTCCCTCAAATGGTCTTCGTGGTCTAAAGGACTTATGGAGCTCGTTGGGAGTGCGGCATGTTGACAGGTGCAGGTTGTTGTTGTATGCACTGGCTACCTTGGGAAGCATCTCATCCCAATTGACTTGATTAGGCCTAATGTACATGCGCAGGACTTGCTGCAGGATCTTGTTCATCTGTTCGGTCTGACCGTTCGTCTCCGGATGATGGCCTGATGACATTAACAACTTGGATCCGTAGATTCGCATCAATTCCTGCCAGTTTAGACTCGAGAACCGGGTATCTCTATCGCTAACTATAGACAACGGAACCCCGTGTTCACTGACCCAGTGATCAAAGAATTTCTTAATTACTAATTCTGTTCTGGCTTCTGACGGCAAAGGAACAAAAATAGCATACTTACTAAATTTGTCTACCACGACCATAACTTGGCTCTTGCCATGCCTACTCTTAACGCCGGTGTCCATGAAGTCAATGGAAACCAAATCTCCCGGCTGATCAGGGATAGGTAAAGGTCTGAGAAGACCTAAAGGGGCATGTGTAGTTGCCTTATTCCTCTGGCAGACTTTGCAACTGCGAACATACTCTATGCAGTCATTTTTCATTCCTGGTCAGGTGTACGCGTGCATCAGGTTGGCTAAAGTCTTCTGCCAACCGAAGTGTCCCTTGGTGTCGTGACATTCCCCCAAGATCAGACTCCGGATCTCTTCACTGTTGGGGACGCACAAACGGTCTACTACGTTAGTCTTCTCAAACAACAACCCATCAGTAGTGCGGTAATATGGCTCGGACTCTGGGGCTTCCTTAACTCTCTTAAGGAGCTCACTATAGATGGGGTCCTGCGCGTACGCCTCCTTAACCTTCTGTTGGAGGTCTGATCCTATATCTAGATAATGGACTATGGCCCCAAAGTAATCAGCTCTCCTACTCAGAGCGTCCGCAACTACATCATACTTCCCTTTGACCGGCTTGAGCTCCAAGTCATATTGATCTATTTTTGCGGCCCACCTAGTAAGCTTAGGTGTCATCTTGGCCTGTGTCTTTAACCATCGCAATGTCTCCTGGTCTGAATAGACTTTAAAGTGCCTCCCAAGCAAGTAGTGCTTCCAATGTTCTAACGCTTGCCTGAGAGCGTAGAGTTCCCTTTCATAGGTAGATGTCACGACCTTCTCTGAAGGCATCCTAGCGGATATGAACTCTACGGGTTGATAACCATTGCCATCGTCTTGCTGCAACACGGCACCTATGTCGTACTGACTGGCGTATGTAGTGACGACAAAGGGCAAGGACGGATCGGCCACCTTAAGGACTGGGTACTCTATCAATGCCTGCTTCAACTTTTTCATGGCAGACGTGCAGTCCTTATCCCACTTCCAGATGGTTTCTTTCCTTAGTAATTTGCAAAAGGGCGCAGCGATTGTGGAGAAGTTCCTCACGAACTTCCTATAGTAGTTAGCTAAGCCCAAGAACGACCGCAACTCTGTTAGCGTACGCGGTGTGGGCCAATCTCTAATCGCTGCAATTTTGCAATCTTCTGGCTTAACGCCATCTCCGTCTAAGACGTGGCCTAAATATAAAACTTGGGTCTTCTCCCAATCGCACTTCTTTGCATTGATCTTGAAGTTAGCTTCCCTCAGCTTCTCCAAGACCTGCCTGAGATGACCCTGATGTTCTTGGAGGGTCTTGCTAAACACTAAGATATCATCTAAGTAGACAACAACAAACCTATCTAACCATGGCCTAAACAAATCGTCCATACAGCGCTGGAACGTAGCTGGCGCATTGGTTAGTCCAAAGGGCATCACTATGAACTCGTAGTGCCCATACCTAGTCCGGAAGGCTGTCTTGTACTGATCATCATGATGCACCTCTATCTGATGATATCCGGACTTCAAATCTATCTTGGAGAAGTACTTTGCCACCTGCACTCGATCTAAAAGATCATCTATCTTAGGCAGTGGCTCAACATTCTTCACTGTAACAGCATTCAGATACACATCCTCAGCTCTCCCTCTTTCTTGGGGACAAAGAGAATAGGCGCTCCAAAAGGAGACGAACTGGGCTTAATCCAACCCTTCTCAAGGAGCTCGTCTAATTGCTTGCGAAGCTCCTCTAACTCCCGCGGGGACATCCTATACACGACTCCTTTGGGAGTTTTACTGCCAGGCTCTATCTCAATGCGGTGCTGAATAGGCCGCGGTACTACTCCTGTCGGCAGCTCAACTAGGTCCTTGAACTCCTCCAGCAGCTTGGCAATCGTAGGGTCTATAGGCTTCTCTTCCTTAGGCTCAGTTACTGGCCTTACATAGGCTACAAAGACCTGTTCTTCTAGGTGCTCCTTCTTCACGAGCCTCGCGAATGCAGGTGCACTAAGGCAGCAATGTGCCAGGGGGTTCTCTACTCCGGACACATGGAACAGGCGGGCAGTCTTAGCCTCGCCTGAAGAACTAGGGAGCTAACATTCGTGCTCCTTTAAACGGAGTGTGGCCCCGGCTGCCTCTCCCCAATCCATCCCCAGGACAATATCAAATGGGAGGCTGTCTTCTACAAGGAGACTCAGGGAGTGGAGGACCTTCTCCACTTTCCCATCTTTCTCTAGGCGAAAATACGCCTGGACTCCCTCTACATAATCCTTTACAACCATCGTACGGTTGTCTGCGAGGATATTGACTATAGGGTCTGCTAGCTTTTGAACAGTAAGTCCCAGCTTCAACTTTTGCAGCGCTTTTCTACTAATATAGTTGCGGGTAGCCCCTGAATCTACTAGGGCCCCTACTCTACTTCTAAAAATCTCTGTATCTACTAATATAAGTTGTCCTTTACTCTCTTTCTTCATCTTGGCCCAGGTGGGCATCCTCTCCTTCAATTCTTCAGCCACGCCTGTGAGGGAGGTGTCTAGAGAGACTCTAACACAAGCAGTCTCTGGACAGCGATCTAGACACCGGCCTGCAACCTATGCCATAGGCACATGTGGTGTGGGAGTCTCTTGCCGGCTAGCGCTATATTCCCCACATGGCCTAATGGTAGGGGCAGTTGCTACCCCTACCGGCGGCTGCCTTTTGGCCCTTGAGCAGCCGTCCGGGTCTCTCTATACTTAGGACAGTATTTAATGATATGGCCCGGGTCTCCGCAGAAAATTCACTGGCCCCGGTCCAGACGCTGTTGCCATAAGCTCTGGTCCAGACCCAAACTTTCCCAAGGCCTACCCTGCGATAGCCCTGGGTGCCATCCACCTACCCTATAGGGAGACCTATTCCTAGGACGGTTTTGCGGGGGACCTTGACCCCTTCCTCCTGCTTGGCGGTTTCCTCCTCTGCCACCAACCCCCTGGAACCGGCTCACTAAGGCCCGGCCCCCTTGGCCCTGGCCTCTTCCTCCTCCTTGCGGCCTCCCTCCAGCCGCGGCAGCGCAAGTCCTCCCCTGGCTCACACCGCTGTCCTCCTCTTCTAACCCCCACTCAATCTGCTCGTAGGGGATCTCGTCCACACAACCCTCATCTAAGGTCAGGACAAGGTTGTCCTTGGTCCTTCAAAAGCCACCACTTCACGACTAAGGGAATCATACGTAGTGGTGGGATCTTCGCTTTTCGCGAAGAAATGCCCTCGAAAGGCTTCGGGCATAGCCCGATTGAAGAGGCCGACCAATTGGGTCTCTGTGACCCCATGGTTAGGAACAACCACTAGCTCATCCATGACACCCTTAAGTGCTCTGGCACTCTTCCATTTGCGAGAATGGATTGTCTGCAGCCTATCTGAGGCTCTGACACTGCGAGCGACATTAGCGAATCGCTCGCGCAGCAATTTCATGACCTCGGTGAGGGAGGTGAATGGCGAATAGGCAACTGCATCATCATTGCAGTTGGCGACGCGAACTAGGGACCTTGCAAAACTGGCAGCTTCATCCCTAAGCGCATGGATCGCAATCAAGACGTGCTGATCCGGGGAGACCTGTTGCAGATGCACATAGGTCTTGACATTGGCCTCCCAGTTGTCAAAGTTTTCTTCCCTCTTTCCACTGTAGGAATCAGGGAACTTGACTTTGACTGGCTCCCTCCAAGGACGCGGTTCGTCCTCCTTGGGAGCTGCTACCTTGACGCCTTCAATGGCGCCGACACAAAAACGCTCAGTCTTCTCGAGGCGATGATTTACCTCGGCTCCCACAACGCCTACCAATTCGTGGGCAAAGTCCCGGAATCCCATCTGCATCGAACGCACAGCTATATCCTGACTTCAGCTAAACTCATATTGTTGTTCTTGCACTCTGGCTAAACGCTCGACGCTCTGGGCGATGATCTCCACCTTTCGTTGGAGGTCTACCTGGGGGGTCAACTGTGTAGTTAAAGTCCGTACCTCCGCTAATTCCTGCATTGTTGCACTCGCCGCCTCCACTCTTCTCTTCTTCTCTTTCATCATTGCGAGTTTCCACTCCATCCTCATTTCATCTTCCATCGCCTGCCGCTTCAGAACATCTTCTTCTGCTTCCCATTTTTTCATAGCGGCTTCCTCCTCATCCTTGGGGATGTACATAGTTACCTCTTCTTCTTCGCCCAGGGATAAGTTGGCAACCCACTCCGAAATTCGTTTCTCCATTTCTTCATCCTTGCTGCCACTGTGCTGCCCTCTTCTCCTTTGCAGTGGCGGTTCATCTTCTTCTTCCTCTTCCACCTCCTTCAACTTCTCCTCTTCTTCCTTCTTCAACCTCTTTTTTTCTCTGGCCATCTCCTCCTCTATCTTTTTCAACTTTGCCGCCTGCTCCTCCTGCAGGGCCTTCTTCTTGGCCTCCTTCTTCTCCTTTCTCACCTGTAGGATGGCGGCCATCTTCTCCTCCTCCTCCTTCGTGTAAGGTTGGGTGGAAGTGCCACCCCGGGTTCCTACTCTACACGTGAAAGTGGGCCAGAAGCCTAGAGGAAAGAGGAGACGCCAAAGGGTCCCCCAAAGGGAGAACCCAACGAGCAACCCATACATCGGATAGTCGTCCATAGTGGTGCCAGGTGCACGACAACAGTCCCACTCCTCACCACTTGGACCTACTCGGACACTAACCCACTGACTGACTCTCTAAGGACCACAGGGTAGAACCCTGTCAACTATGGCCACTAATCTAAACCTACTCTAAGGCTGTCACTACTAAACCAACAGCTGATCTGGAGGCATTTAAGGAGATCCCCCAAACTCCGCAAGAATTCTTTAACGTCGCAGTCAGGACGACGTGATCAGCGTGGCTCTGCCTGTGCTTTCAACCCACAACTCAGCCTTTCCGGCCTACTGTGCCACACCGAGCAGCCCGCCGGTCTGTACCGTTCCTTGGGAGGGTTCGTATCCCCCGGGACAGTCGAGTCGTCAGACACAGATCATCAGCCTTACTAGGTCCGGTAGGGGGGTGGTTCAAACAGGCCCTCAACACTTAAAGACTGTCTGGGGTTTCAGCCTTAGCTGTCGTTCAGGCCCACTGAGTCCAACCAACCGTTTCCAGCCGGTCAGCACCGGTCCTTGGGAGGGTTAGGCCCCCCTGGAAAGTTGGATCAGCCACAGCCTCAGCCCTACAAGGTCAGACTAAGGTTTCGTCATCCAAGTACTATCCTTCATCCACAGAGTGCTACCACTTAGGACAGAAGAGACTCGATGCAGAAAGGAAAGACAGACAGACTCAAACTCAGCAAGTACCGTAGGGTGAGTGCACATCCACAGGGTGAGGGGGTAGGCTAAGGGCTCGACGAGGCATTACCAACTCCAGCTTGGTCCATGTCTTGGTCAACGGCGTCGGTCAACTCCTCGGTCAACGCTGGGTCAGCGCTGCAAGGCCCTGGTCAACACCTCGGTCAACCTTCCGGTCAACGCTCGGTCAACCCTCCAGTCAACTCCCGGTCAACCATCCGGTCAACTCTAACCTCGGCTATGGCTGCCGGCACCTTCACCCTCGCCACCCTTGTCTTCTCCTTCCTTCTCCTTCACCTTCCTTTCTTTCTTTCTCTTTTTTTTTATTATTATAAAACCCTCAGCTATGTCTGTCTTCTTCTTCGATGTCCCTCCTTCCACACTTCTCCCTCTATCTCTCTCCTCGGTCCCTCTTTCTCTGTCCTCCTTCGTCACTCCGTAGTACAGCTCTGCGGCTATGGCCGCTTTCTTCCTCCTACGTGGGTCTGCGCAACAACTTCACAGGTACGTAACAGCCAATCTTGTATCGCTCATCTCTCTCTCTCTCTCTCTCGCCGTAGCGGTATCTTCAGCGCAGCAGGTAGTCACCCAGTCTTGTATCACTCATCTCTCTCCCTCTCTCTCTCTCTCTCTCTCTCTCTCTTAGTCTTCTCCTTCGTCGTGGTCTCCTTGCAGGTGTGCGGCGGCTTCTTCCTCCTTGAGTCCGCTATGGCGGACTGTCACCTTCAGCGGCCACCTCTGCTATGGCGCCTCAACCCTGCACACGACTTCGCGCATGGGACAGCAGGTACCAGCTCCGATACCAATGCAATCAGGCTCGACTCTTTCCCACTTTTCATGCACGTGAACAGCAGCACAACAAACTGGCGACATGCGCCGACACAGTACACAGAGATATGGCTTCCAGGCAAGTTCACTTCCACTGGCTATGGCGACTGAGCGCCCAACATCCACTGTTCACACACTGGATCACCCTGGATATCCCACACACGACACTCCGCCCA